TGAGCTCATCAAGACAATTAGTTATAGATGAAAATGAGAATGTGTCGACCAATACCGAACAATACAGTTTGAGTAAATAAGTAATCCATGGTTATAACCCAGAACAAAACAGAGGTACCTATTTTGCATGCAGCCAAGGTACACAATTCACAAGGCGAACTGTAAAATAACTGCGTATTTAGAAACAGATGCTTGTAAGTAAACCGATGATTTCAACACCGACCTCACAGCAAACACAGGATATCAAACAGACTAAACAAACTTCGAAAATCTTAACGTATATATATATATATACTAATTTAACACGCTCAATCGCTGACCCAGAGCCGAGGAAAAGAACAGGTGCGGCAACGGCGTTTATTGGAAAGACAAGGCAAGTTAAAATTAGGCCACTGAGGCTCTAAATTTATAGGGCGAAATCAGTACCATATGTGGCTGTCACAGCGTTAGAACTAATCTCGTTACAGAGGGACATCAGATAATGCACGCGTGAAAACAGTTCAGATGACGTACAGGCGTTCGATCGCGCAGCTGCAATCGTATTAACTGAGTGAGCTTGATTAACTGAGTGAGTTAGAACATAACAACTAACTCGAAACCGGATCGATTAGTCCATATGTCGTGATTCGCCTTTGCTGCTTCGTTTAGAGATGCATCTCCTAACATATATATATATATATATATATATATATATATATATATATATATTACAACTTTATGGCATGAAATTTATCAATCTTCACTGTCCACTCAGCTGAATTGCGTAATGCCAGTGGCCAGTAATTTTCCCCTCTCACACTTCGTTCGTGAAAATAATACAAAAACTCCTAATTAATGGTACGTTCTTGATAGTTTAGCTTGGGAAGTGTTTGTCAGGATAGGCTCTTGAGCAACCCGTATTGGATTGGAATGAGGGGGTTACTGGACGGAAAGTCACTGCAATTTTCCCGGATCTGATACACAACTTTCAGACAATGACCGTTGTTTAGTTCCTCAAAAACATCCTCATTGACATCAATCGGTTATTTGTAAGCATTTCTGGTATGTAACACAAAATTAGCAAATTTAACATGCGAACTAGTCTTTAGAAGAACAACACACCATTGTAATATGAACTGAAAGATATGAAACGTCTCTCGTAGTTTTGTAGTGTATTGGCATGCACAGCTTCACCAGGATTTGCCTGACAGTTTAAGACCAAACCGTCTAGGAGTAACGCCTAGACAACTAACGGTTGCCGATTTCAAAATAAGACTTGGTTGCAGGTCTTACATTACCACTGAGTTATCACCAAAAGATTTATTACGAGCAAATATCTCAACTTTAGCAGGCAGTATTAGTAGAAAAATTACACTTAGAATTGATCATATATTGGAGCCAATTCTGGTTTTGGCATGCAGAATATCCAGTGTTCTGTCGTGGCTTCAGAACTACAAATGGCTGATCCACTTCAACCTATCCGTAAAGGAAAAATGCATCAGCATAAGAAAGGAATGGAATATCTCCGGACGGTTAGGTTTCGGACCGTGAAACTCCGTATTCTAACATTTTGTTCGTACTCTCAGTGCTCACACTGGTGGTACATGTACTGTGAGTACAGCATCCTTCAGTGATAGGACGTTCATAATTTAGAACGTCCTTGGTCTGAATCAGGAGGCGACAACCTTCTTATGGACAAAGTTTGGATGCACTGTGGGTGATTAGACAGCGGATAGCAGTCGTGAAGAAATGAATGGACCAAATTTGTCACATGAATGTGTTTTGACATTAGGTGATAACCTGGATGATACCAGATGAACAGTTATCCTACTAGATATCAATCATTTAGGTTCTAACCATACTTATCCCCTAACTTCTCGCGTCTGAAACGTGCTGCCGAATATTTTGAAGTTGCAGCCAGTCTGGTTCAGCGGGTATGCGGGATTCGACTCGAGGATGTTGGTTGTCGACTTCTAACTGAAGATTATGGGACAACTTCATTTCGCTGTTTAGTGCTCGACATACAGAATCACAGGTCATGAATATGTGGAGTTTTATTATTTTGTACTTCATTTTGCTAACGTTGCGTAACTGCTGTATCAAACCACATTGTACATTTTTGTTTGACTTGAGTAAAAACAAGAACACAACACGTTTTCGAATAAACTCTGCTACGCGTGCTTGCTGGTTCTTCCTACAACGCCGGTGGTTGCCATCCAGTCTAAAATATTCCCTATGTTTGTTTTAACGCTGGTTAGTACGACCTCAAGCTATCCCGACTGACTGCAAAAGACTCAGCAATGAAGTACGACAAAAGTTGTTCAGTGTATTTTCAACAGGGCATTATATAAGGAATCAACACAGCAGCTGGTTTCATTGGCTTCGCTTCAGTAGCCTGCCTTCGGCCTTGACCGACGGCTGTGTTGGTCACCACATGACATGTTCAAGGGTTGCTGTTGGGTCCATGCATATGTCCTGTCTGGTGCACTTGCTTGACCATTCGGTGAGTGCCCTGATGCGCGTCCCGACTGAAATCACTCTGTCCCAGGCCGTTTGTGACAATGTTGGATTAACATTCAGCTCTGTTACTTCGCATCCTCAGCTACGTTTAGAACAATCCGAATGCTTTCCAGCGTCATTGAACGCCTCACGAACATTGTCAATCTTTGGTGAGTCCAGTCCTTGACTTCACTCGGTATTTTCGTATCGATAATTATTGTAGTTCACACATCTGTTCCACTGCAAATGTATGCGAAACCAGATTTAATATACAAAGCCATCGAGAGTGGAGAACGAACAGTTACTGAACAAAATATGCAGATGGTGTAGCGACCCCATTAGTTGTTGTCAATTACGTTAGAGCTACGAGTGCCATTCGTACTCCTTCTCCAATTTGTAGGATCGAGCGGAACGACGACAACCGGTTGAGAATAATAAGAGTAGACAAAGAGTATATTGTTGACTTGCGAAGTCAACGCGAGAATAAACGGGTACAAATACGAAGCGATAACGGAGCGAAGCGACAAGCGTGCACGCAGCGGGGTCGTATGTTCGAGTGCGCGGGAGACTTGTCGGTATCTCTACTCGTTCAAACAAATGTTTAAGTACCTACAGGAGTAGGAAACAGAAAGAGTACAAATGGCACTCGTAGCTCTAACATAATTGATAATAACGAATAGGGTCGCTGTTTGCCTCATAAATGACACCGACACTACGTGTGGTGAATGTCACTAAACCTATTTCTCATTATTATTGTTTTATTACATTGTTGACAATAGGCTCTACAGTTGCGCTCGAGAGATAAATTACCTGCTCTGCTAAACTGAGTTGTTATTACTGCTGCGTGGAAGCTAGCTCTGGGGTTGAGTCAAGTTAACCACTGCATTTCTGTATTTCTGGAACCATCGCACTACGTCTGGCGAGAGAATTTCTGGAAGTAATGTCGAAGATCGATTCAATCGGAGATCTGTATGGCACAATGCGTGTCACTGAATGGAACGCCATGTAAACAGACAATCGGACAGTATCGTGGGTCATGCGAGCTTTCTTAAAGTACAACTAACAGTACGCAGGTACAACTTTAGGAACGGTGTTAGACTTCGTGCCACAGACATACAAGTGAAACCCCAAGGTCGCTACAGTTTTTACCTACTGTTAGTAACAAGTCGTTGGTATACAGTGTGTATATGCAAATTACGGGTAAATCGTAGGACCTTTGCCCAACATAACCGATAATCCGCTCTTAGTTGGGGGCCGTATTTAAATTCGTATAGACCGTTCAGCCTTCCTCTTTCGAAAAGAACCGCTTGGCCAAATATTTCTTCTTGTCAGGGTAAATCAGTATTACGTAACGTTGCCACGATGCGAATTCGAACTTCGGCCGCTTTCTCGTGAAACAACTGCGTTGACGACTGCACCAATGACTTGTAGTGGAACGAAGAAATGAAACGACAATTGTTACCAAACAATCTACGGTAACTGTCAACAACAAAATCCACCACACTACGTCCGCTATAAGTTAGAAGAACGCTGCTCGTGAATAACAGAGGAATTCCAGCGAGTTCCAGCAGATCCAGTTTATCCCGCATATTAAAATCCGCTGTTGCCACAGTTAACTTCCGGTAACAACGACCACGCGCAAGCAGGAGCCGAATCGCGCCAGGACGAAGTGTACACTCATTCAAATAATGGACAAGTGGTTTATATGTACAATGAACAAAAAAGGTATGAAGAACAGTATGTAACAAGAGAACAAAAAGGTAACAGATTCTACAGACTTCATATTGGATATGACAGAATTACCACATGCAAGCACTTGATCATACCGGTATGTGAGTAGTGCTGAGGCTGCCCGACAGCCTAGACAAGAGATATAATGATTGTCCCGTTACCTTCAGTACATGGCCGTATAACTAAGACTTCTTTTGCAGTGAGAGTCGCAGAAATCAGAAGCTTGTTGGACTATACTCTGATCAGCAACGAGTAGTGGGGCAAAAATATGTACTAATGACGAGCTCTGAAAGGAACGAAAATCGAGTCCACTACTTCTTTTCGGTCTATGTTTTTATAGGGTATCTTACCTCAAAATATGTTTATCGAATGATGTACTGATCAAGTATGTTCCCATACTATGTCCTAATGAACAGTGGTTGCCTCCGAAGTGGAATAGATCCAATATGGTTCATCCGTAACTTACTTATTGTGTGGGGCAAGCTGCGACCAGATCCCAAACTAAAAAGAATGTAAATGGTCAGAATTTATCAAATTGTTTGTTTAGGGGAGACGCAGGTTGGCATGTCACATGGATTTGCTACAAAAACTCGGGTATTGCTAAGCTCGATCTCGCTGTTTGATTTAAACATTAGCGGATGTTTACAAAACCTAACATATTGTTTGGTCTTCAATAGACGGGGAATGTAAACTGGCCTTAACGCCAAATGTCAGTGGTCGCTTAGAAGCATGTAAACTCAATGTGACAGGCGTAAACAACATAGAGTGTTCATACATACCAGCCCGCCGCGGGTCCGGTGGTGTAGTGGTTATCATGTCTGCTTTACACGCAGAAGGTCCCCGGTTCGAACCCGGGCCGGACCAGCCTTTTGTTATGAGTGACCATCGCTTGGCGTCAGGAAGGGCGATTTAGGCTGACCCCGCACCGATCGGCCTTCTTCTGCAGGTCAGGATGGAAACAGTGTTGATTTCTTGTATATGTCATTTCAGTTCAGTTTCCAGGACGAAACGGCTAAAGCCATAAACTGCCCAGTCTCTTGCACCAACGAGCTACCGCGAGTGAAGCGGACAAATGGGTACGCACTAAACCCTTGTCCACTAACAATTTAATACGCCTTTCCTGAAGAGCAGTCGAAACGCAGTCCCAACGGGCATCGAAATAGAGAACGCAGCCAGGTTTGGAAGCAAACCGTATACTTCCAGCAGCGTTTGGAAATATGATTAGTTGGCTCTAGTCTAATCTGGGAACAACGACAGTAACCAATAGGATGAAGAAGAGGAGCACGAGATGGGCCACAGCCAACTCGGTGGCATTCAAAAGCGCTCCAAGCAAAAAGGAGAGTGTCCATGGGCTATCGGCTGTGGATTTTTTACTGGTCATTGCGATTAACCAACTGTCCATCGCCTGGAACGGATGTAACACTACGGTACATGGGCGGAAACATTCTCCAGAACGTCAGTCATGACGTCATGTTGTCGTCGTACGACGACAACACATTTCGGACCTTATCGACTTTGCTGGAACATTTAATGCACATTTTCTAGAATGGTTTTCAAGGACATTTCAGATGTCTACATGAAAAAGCTGAGGCTTTTTCAATCAAAAACCAGTAGATCTATTTAGGTACATAAGTAATTTTGGGCGGAATAGTGACGAAAACGTAATGGCACAACGTATGTCAAAGAATTGCCGAGGAAGTGCCCTGTAACAAATACGTTTTGGTTTTGCGTGCACCGTGTAAACAGTGGTAACTTTAAAAAAAAGGAGACTCAACGGGTGGAATACCCATGTTCCATGCACACGACTGGACTTAAGGTTATTGTACCACACAATACCGCACATGCGCGCTCCGACTCAACCAATGAGATTGGAGATTAACCGTTCTCTGCGACATTAACAATCTGTCGACGCCCACGCATGTGTACATTCCAATTGGGCGGCGTAGGTTATGGCAGTTTAACCTAGTGTAGTATTATAGAGCTCGGCCACGACTGGTACGCTTAGGGACAATTAAGTATGCTTCTATCCGACACAAAACGCCATCTTCCTTAGGTTTTTAAACAGGCGCCATCAAAATTTCCAACCAATCAGAATAACATCTACAGCCGATGACCATCTGCCAGCGAAAAGTGCGCGGGACCTTCGAGTGCGTTAAACAACGCTCAAAAAGGCCCGGGTTAAACGACCTTGAAAAATAAAACAATAGATTAATCGTTAGGAAAAGGGCAAACAACCGCCGTGTGCAATCAGTTGCACGGCTGAAGAAAGTGGCACTGATTTTGTATCAGACCTCCTATAGCGGCAATATACAGGATCATGTGCACAAAACAAACAAAAAAGCACTGTAGTGACCAGCGATCGTGTAGCTTCTCTAGAGATCCCGGCTTCGACCGTGTTTTCCCGCTTGTCTCTCTTGTATGCATTATTCTGTGCACGTCTGTTGTAGGAGACCTGATATACACTCAATACCACTTTCTTCAGTCGTGTAACCAATTGCACACGGCGATTGCTTGCCCTCTTCCAAACGGCTTGCCTAATGTTTCATTCTTCAAGGTCGTTTAACCCAGACATTTTCGAACGTTGTTTAACTCACTCGAAGGTTCCATGCACTTTTCGTTTGGTGCGCTTTTGAGTGCCGCTGAGTGAGTTGTGGCCCATCTCGTGCTCCTCTTCTTCATCCTGTTGGTTGCTGTCGTTGGTCTCAAATTAGACTAGACCTAACTACTTATCATATTTGCAAACATTGATGGAAAGATACTTCTTGTTTCAAAACACCACCGTGTCCTCTAGTTCGATGACTGTTGGGACTGCGTTTCGACTTCTCTTCAGGAAAGGCGTATTAAATTGTCAGTGAACAAGGGTTTAGTGCGTACCCACTTGTCAGCTAGAGCGAAAAAGCATGTATCGTGATGCTAGTTCCGAGGTTCGTACACCCAGGATTTTCCCAGCCTTATATTAACGCGGATCAAAAGTCACAGCGAGAAGACGGTGAATCTTTGAACAAACTATTCACTTATTCACTTATCGTTCAGGAGCGAACTTCAACAAACGTTTTAGGGCGCTAGGGAGCTGGACGCGAGTGAACCTTGAGAACAGCCGCACGGTAGCCGCCAGAGAGGACGAATGTGGACGGAAATTTCAATCGGCCTTCAGAATTCAAACAGGCGTCATACCGCCTGAGCAGCGTTCCCAACAGTATTATCTAAGACATTGTTATCCTAGTAAATGTAGCCTAAAGTAGTAGAGATGAAGCGGATTCCTTATACAGCTGCGAGTAAAACTGTGGTATCTGCGCCAACACTAACTTTTATGTTAGCGGGTTGTAGTAAATCTGCATTCAAAAGGTAGTAGGAACCTGCGCGGCGATACTGGTAAGGCAACCCTCACGTCGCAGGGAGTTTAGGATTTTGGGAACGTTGAAGGTGATTGCACTATTCATGGCTGCAACCGGAATCCTCAAAGAGGCCATACGATCGCCGGTCACTACAAGGGCGCCCAGTGCTGCGACGATATTGAGGAAAGATTGTTCACTTCCATGAATTATCACGAGGGCCAACAGACAAAAGTTGAGGAGTTCATGCTATTAGTGCCATCAAAACATAAGTCCACAGCAACCACCGATACACACAAGTTTATCCTCTCATTGAAGTGGCCTGAAATAAGAGTTAAGTGTAAGACCAATGTGTGTTTGCTTCCTAGAGCCTATACTTTCAGATACTGGGACTAACTTTGAAAATAAATGAAAACAGTGAATGAGGTTTATAAAATATAACAACGTTAGCCAACAAAGATGAGAAATTGACTAACTGTCGCGATTAGAATTGATATATATATATAATAACGATCGGACGTACGAAAACCGCAAAACACAATCAAGCACAATGGCGCAGAACGTATATTGTTGAATCGTGCATATCAGTCAATGGTACAGACTGCTGGAATAGTAAAATAGTTGCATAACAGAAGGAGACAAAGCATGCCAGTCATGTTCATCACACCCACCACATCTTGAATGAACGCGCGGGCATTTGTAACTCTGCGGTGGTCTGATTTCCAGACGTTCCCATTTTCTGACTGTCGGTTTTCCGAGTGTTCCGTCTACTCCAGGAATAGCCTCTATTTCAGTGATGTCGTTTGTTTCAGGTACGTCAGGATAATCTAGAAAGGACTCATTAAAATTCGAAGCAACATGTGATAGACGTACCGTTCGTTGCAAGTACGGTTGGCTGCATCCGCGTGGGGTCGTTCGCGTGAATCCAGTGGGAGGACGCTGTACTGCGCACCAGTATCGATGAGGTAGCGGACCGCTGAGTCGCGGACTGGAATGAAGAGCGGGCGACGTCGGGGGCCGGCAACGTCAGTCTCTGCGGCATGCTTGCCGACTAGTCTCCCCGATCTTTTCGCAGAAGGAAGAGTGAATACAGCAGAAGCGAGCAAGACCACCAAACTGCTGGTGGTACCAGCAGTGGTCGGTGTTGAGGATTTCTGTAGGCACTCGTCGCCTTCAAGAACTCGACCGGTAGGCTTCCATGTTAGACTTACGTGTGGTCGAATGCAGATGCCAGCTTCGAGTGCTCGATCGAGTGTCTGGATCTGACTTGCGAGTTTGTTCACGTGGTCGGTCAGGAGTGCTAGTGGTTCCGGTGGTGGCGCGGATAATTGGGAGAACTTTATCCCGTAAATCTTCCAGGTGCAGCCTTCTTTGTCGCTTTATTGCGATAGGGTCGCTGGAAGGTTGACACTAAGGACATTTTGCATATCTCTAGGCAGTCGTTGGATCCACACTTCCTTCAACAAGGACTTGTCGAGCTGAGTTTAACCTGCGAGATTTTGCATATGGCGTAGGAGCTGTGACAGCTCCTGGTCGCCTGGATCGGTAGTGCTCAGCAGCCGGGCGATGCTTTGATGCTCTGAAAGGCCAGCGTGCCTGATAAAAGCCTTCCTAAACTGCTCTTATGGCTTAATGGAGTCCGACAGCTTCAAAGTTTCGACCACGTCGTCTATGACGTTAGGCGGGAGAGCAGCTACCAAGTGACGGAACTTCGTTAGTTCCGTTGTTATGTCTCTCAATGAAAATTGCCCCGCAGCTGTGCGAACCATCTTCAGTGGTTATCCTCCTTCAAAGGCCCAATCGAAACGAAAAGGGCACTGACGAAAACATATGGCCAGCTAAGAACTTGTACCTGCATAATCTCGACAGCAGCAGGGATCAACACCAAACGAATGGATGAAAAAGTAGCAATAACTTGTGTCAGAAAGACGAAATATGCCTGCGGAAAGTTACAAGATGTGCGGGCTCACAAGTTTCAGCGGGCACGTGCACTAAATGAACGCTTCCACGATTGTACGCAACGACTTCCAGACGCAAACTACCAATAACTGCGGGAGACCGAAAATATATTATATAATTGCAATAAGTCTCAATCAGCGCTTAACGACACCGATACACATGAGTAGCTAGTGAGGTTGAGGATCCGACCGTCAGGCGCGTGAGCAAGCCGGAATAGTGTATATGGCACAAATGGCGCGCATAGGCCGAAAGGTAGGCGAACAAACAAACGCGACCGCATTCAACAAGCAGGCAGTAGAAAAAGGTCCTTAAGATCGTATATACAACGACCTGAGATTTTCGGAAGGATTTCACACATCGTGCAGTAGGCAAACCGGCATTATCTCCAGGTCACAACACACCCCTCCTCCGGTGAGGTGCTGCGAATGCAACCCTTCTACCGACGTGGGGGCTAACTATGGCCAGCCACCATGAACCTGATCCAGTTCATGTTGCACCAGCTTGCGGTTTGTGCTGCAATTCCCAGATGCCGTATGTGGAGGGTCACTAATGCCGGTAGCTTTTAGCGAGCTC